TAGCGCCGTGGTGCGGGGCTGGCGACTACGGGAACCGGTGCAGGGGGCTGCGACGCCGCTGTCCTCTCCGGCGGCGGCGGTCCCGGCGACGCCGCCTCGATATGAGCCCATGGGTGCCGTGGCGACGTTGCCGACGCCGCTACCACCCCGAGGTACCACGCAGGTGGGTCGCTGGGCGGGGCGGGGGCCGTATCGGGGTGGTACAGGTAGAAGCTGGTGACATACGACTCCCACACCCGGTGGACCGCTTCTTCCAGCGTGACCCCCGCGTTGTGCTTCCTGTACTGCTGCACACGGGCGACCCACTTCGCACCGCGTGCCTCTACCTCCACTGCTTGGGCACGTTGGACGGCCCTCTCAGCCGCTGCATGCACCTCCCTGGCAGTGGGCGGCGCCATTACCCCCCCCGCGCCGTCTCCTTCAGCCGCTGCCGCCGCTGCTCTGTCCTCAAAGTCGCGCTCGTGCCACCCCCGCAGTTCCTCCTGCTGCTGTGCGATCAGTTGCGCCTTCTCTGAGTCGGTCATACGGAGTGCGCGTAGCGGCGGTGGCACCACCCCGACCGCGGCGGCGGCGGCGGTGTCGGCGGCGGCGTCGGCGGTAGCCACCGCCGGGGTGTCCAAAGCAGGTGCGCCTCCGGCCCTCTCCCTCGCCTTCGCCGAAGTTACGTACCCCACGGTGATGAGCTCCGGCGGCGTGCGCGAACGGCGCCCCGGCGAGGCGGTCTTCCCCTTCACCTGTGGCAGCTGCGGGAAATCGCCCTCCTGAAGCTGGAAACCGGCGGTGGCTGCAGCGGTCACGCGGGGGGAGTTGGCCCCCGATGCAGTAGCAGGGGCGGCCGGCACTGTGTTCCCCTCGGCCACCGGCAGGGTGTGGGCAGGAGCGGGCGCGCTGGAGAGCGCCTGCATGTATTTAACTTGTTTGCGGTGCACAGCCAGCGCTGTGCTCGCCTCCGCCCTCAGGAGCGCCCCATCTTGCTTCGCCTCCTCCGCTGAAGCCGTGGACGCCTCACAGGCCGCAGCCGCTGCGGCAAGCTCCCGTTCCATGGCTGCCACCGCAGCCGTCATCTGCCGCCGCTGTTGTTGGAGGGCCGTCAGTTTGTCGGCGTCGGCGGTGACTCGTTTCTGAAGGTTGTAGTCCGTCGCGCGTGCCTCCCGGTCCACCGCCGGGTAGGCCTCCTCCGCACAGAGAAGTTCGGCGTAGGCTTCGGCGACCGATGACGGGGAGTGTGCTCGCACGTGGGCCTCGAGGTGGCGATTCTCAGCGTCGGCGGACGCCAGGTCGTTGGTGACGGAGACGTCACTGGTCACCGTTGAAGGCCCAGAGAAGAGTGCTCCCACGGTGGGTGGGAAGGCCGTGGCGTCAGCAGCAGCCGCCTCGGCTTGGGTAGACACGGCCCCGGCTGCGCCAGACTGGTCCGACTGTCCACGAGCGGGAGGGGCGGCGGCGATGGCGTCCAGCAGGTTGCCGAAGCCGCGTTCGCGGATGGCCTCGGTGATGCGGTACACCTGTTCCGCCTCTGTAAGAACAGGCGCAGTCGCAGCATTCGATGAAGCTGCAAGGAGATCCGGCGCGTAGGTGACGGCGCCGGGAGAAGCCGACGAGCCAGGCATTGCCCCAGCAGAGGTAGGGGGAGGAGCGAGAGAGAGGGGGGCGGGAGGAGGAACTACAACAGCAGGCTGCACGCTACCAGCTATGCGCGGGCTACGGCGTACAGAAACACCCATAGACGCGTCTTTCTCTTCAGGGACCCCGGTATCACGCTTACGGTTCGACATGATCAACTCAAACAAACTCGGCAGCTTCGCCAACTGTGATATAAGCTTTTAGCTGGGTTTGTTCTGATGTGGAGCACTGCGAACCAATCACAAATGAGGTGTGGTTCTACTAGCAAAGGTGGTTCTGCTAGTACTTCGGGTCCAAAGGATGTTTGGTCAATACTGTCAATGCTCGTGGTGTGGTCACGGGTCTCTGATGTGCACAAGAGGTAGAGTCGAATGTGGTCTCTTTTAGTCAGCCTGAAGGTGAACTCCTGATCAGCAAGAACACCTACTGTAACTCAACCGCTTATCAATCCAATCTCACGAGGCTGTCCAATGCTATGCTAAGGCGTCACACTCAACACAACGCTGTGGGGACGGCACTCACGCTCACCTAAACCCTAGTCGAAGCTATGCCAAGTGGCTTCTGATCAAAGGGGGTGGCTGTAGGAGAACTGAAAGCCAGAATAATCCAAATACATTGGGAACTCCGGGGAAACGGGGATAACTTCAACCATACGGTTACAATCTGCGGAGCTTCCTACAACAACCTGGCCAGGAAACGCCGAGGCTCCTACCGTTTCGACGGTGAGTCCACTTGCGAAGGCAGCGTTGGCGCATCGGCGACCGCAGCACAGTGAGGGGCTAGGGCGTGCTTAGTTGACTGCAGCCAGCGCCATTGGTTGCAACATGCATCTCAAGTCTTGTCTCGCTCGTGTTACAAGTGTAGCGGCGCCATTTGTTGGAATCATTTTGCTTGAATCCATATCTCTTCGCATACCCGCACACTCATCCGGGCGACCGTCGATTCCCCTTCCTTTGCCGTACCCATGGATCCGTCGTCCTTTGAGGTCGTCAAGGCCCGGTGGCTCGGAAGCTTCGACTTCGTCCAGACCGGCATGCGCGACGCGGGCTGCAGCGCGTACTCTCTGACGGTGGGGTTGGCCTTCATATCTCTAGCAATGGGTGGACGTTTTTGGTGTCGCTCTTTCCAGGCCTTTGGGGTATCGCACCTTGCCCCCCCGCCTCACCCCCGTGTAACCCTGCCGTACTTGCTCGCTGCTGTCGGAGCGCGGTTATGTTTTCATACGATGCACGTCACCAACAATGACACTGTTGGGCGAACATGGGTGACGCCTCCGCAAATGTCAACCTTAATCGCCACCCTCCCCTCCTCCGCGCACCCCGCTTCGCGCTTCGTCCTTCCGTTACCGGTAGGACATGTCCGACGAGGCCTTGGCGGCTATGGGCTACAAGGCCGAGACCCTGGCGACGGGTAACTGCGATGTTCAACGCCTGCTGGCAGACTTGGTGGCGAACCCGGCTGGAGCGGGGCTGCTGTACGAGACCACCTCAGGCGATGTCACCCTCACCACACGGACCTCCGTGAAGTTCTTCGCAGAGTTGCTACGGGATCAGATTCTGGAGCGACTGGTGCGCGTCACCAACGTTGGGTCCCAAACCAACCACTGCCACCTCGTCGCTCTTGGACCCGACGGCTTCTTCCTGTGCACATACCTGAGGATCCTCGTCGAAGGTCTCGGCTACCGACATGCCCTCCGGGCCATCCACGACGCGGATCTCGGGTTCACCGGAGCATGTATCGCACCCCGCTGGCGTGATGGAATTATGCCGTGGACGATGGCACCGCTCGCCGCTAAGCCGGCGGTGCTAGCTACGACAGCTACGGGGGTTCCGGGAGAGATGCCGGCCCCACCTGCGGATCCCGGTGTTTTCTCCCACTCCAAAACCACCGTGAGAGCTAGCGCGTGGGCCAGCTGCTGTGCCTTCGGGAAGGAGCTCGCAACCATCACAGCAGGCATCGACAACATCCCTGGCATTTCGCGCGTCCTAGACAACCTGAAGAACCAAGCGCGCCAAATGGTCGAGGTGGAGCTGAGGTCGCAACACAACGCGGCCACGAGCCGGGTGTTCAAGGAAGTCGTTACCACGCCTATTACCGCACCCGAAACGCCGTAAACGCCGGAGGGGGGGGGAGTGTGCGCGACGCAGGACGGGGGTTCTGGCAAACAGAAAAGCAGAGCGACCAGCCGGGGGGGGGCAAACGGACGCAGCCGGAGCGGGTCGGCAGGAAGAGGTGAAAGGGGAGGGGTGAGCGCTGTTGTTTCAGCGGCGGGCATTCCAAGCCCCAGCCCTGGCGGGGGGCTTCCGGCCTTGCAACAGGCGGCCGGGGCTAGCGCCACCAGCGGGGGAGGGGAGGGGGGGGGCGCTGGTGTCTCTGCCGTGGGGCTTCCGGCCAGTGCCTTCTGCGCGGGGAGGGCGCGGGCAGGGGACAGCCCGTCTCCCTTTCAATCCCTTAGCAACGCACCTCGTGCCGGGGTGGGGCAGGCTTCGCTAGGTCTCGCGTCAACAGCATTCGACACGGCAAGCTCCTGTGCACCCGGGAATTTCCAGCAAATCAACACTGAATGCAGAAATGCGGCGCAGCGACAACCACGGCCACCCTCTGCCCCCAATGCCCCAAGAGCTCGCTGTGCTTGACGAGGTGCGATCGCCCCAGCGCCAGAGGCAGACAGGGCCGTCCACGAGGCGCACCTCCACGCGACAGCGGGACGTCCGTGGGGGAGGACAGCATGTAATCCAAGGAGGCACCGCTGGCGCGTGGGGAGGGCACGGAGGAGCCGCAGGCGCGTGGGCGGTCTAGGTTTTTGGTGGGCCTTCTGTGGTGTTCTAGGTTTTTGGTGTTGGCGTAGATACACATTGCCGGCTGCAGCGAGCTTGAATTGGGGGGGAGGTCTTTGTTTCGGAACCCAACATGGGTGGTACGTCTGTGGCGGGGGTGGGCGATACAGCGAATGGAGCTCGGAGTTTACCGGGGCGACTTGGGCAGAGAAGGCAATCGTGAAGTAACCTTCGTGAAGTTATCGTCATGGTGCAGAGTAGTAGCGACTTGCCAAAGTGTTTCTTGTGTTGTTGCGGCTTGGTGGTAGGCAACAACGGCCGCCAGCGGTGGCAGCGATTGACGCTTTTCTTCCCGTCTGTTCTAGCGTTGTAGCCGTTCTTTCGAATGTGCTCGTCTTCGCCGAGAGTCATGGTGCTGATGGTACGAAGTACGGAGTATGATCGTTCGATCGACATTAGACCGGCGGTTTGCTGCAAAACGTATGCACGGCTGTAAGATAAAGTTACACCATTAGACTAGTCAGCGCTGACTAGTCTAATGGTGTAACTTTATCTTGCAAACGATATGCTCAGAGCTCATTTGCACCCGGCTGGATCACATTTTTGGGTTCGTGAGTAGAGACCTCCGGGGACGGACCCCTCGCCAGACGCTGCCTGAAAAGAACTTAATGGTGCTTGGGAAAGTGACCAGTCGGGTTGTGACCCCGTGCGTGAATCCTTTACCGCCAAATGATAAACTATTAGTCTAGTCAGCATTTTTGGAGCTGGAGGATGCACGCACGGGTTCGAATCCCGGCTGCTCACTTTCCCAAACACCATTACGTTCTTTTCAGGCAGCGTCTGGCGAGAGGTCCGTCCCCGGAGATCTCTACTCACGACCCCAAAAATGTGATCCTGCCGGGTGCAAATGAGCACTGAGCATATCTTTTGTAAGATAAAGTTAAGACTACACGATTAGACTAGTCAGCGCTGACTAGTCTAATGGTGTAACTTTATCTTACAACGGCAACCTGCACGTCCCAGCGATGCCCGCCTCCAAGAGCAGACCTTTTTGACGTGTGTATGACGCACATTTTGGCTCCCGGGATGCTCTATGGCCGTCCCTTGCTATTTTGGCAAGGACACTGCGACGAAATATGGTATGTACGCCGTGGTATGTAATTTGTGTCCTACATGGGTGGACTGCACATTGGCGGTGCTGAGCTGATCGTACAGACAATTGATTCACATTGCTGTCGGAAGGTTGAGCCAAAACAAGGCAGGCCAACGTTCAGAACGACCAAAAGAGCCGATTTCGACTCCACGCCGTTAAGGAATTGAACACTGCATGCAAATCCAAAACCGAATCAGCGGTGCGCGTAGCACCCTCGTCCGCCGCAGCGGCAGCCCCCAGACTGCCGCTAGTCACACCAACGGCCGAAACGTGCGTGGCGCTCTCGCCAACGTTGGAAGATTCCCGGGCGCCCTCACAACACTCGTAAAGGACTCCGGAGCAGCAGAATGCCTTCAATTCGAGAAAACTCCACCAACCCGGACGACCAACTGCCGATCTGTGGCACGTACAGTTTGTGACTTACGCCAAAAAACCAAGCATCCCGCTCAGCGTACGAAAGAAAAGTTGGGTGCTGCAGCCCCGGTGCTACACTGATGGTGTGGGCCGCCACCTCTTGTACCAATACGTGAGTGTTGAGTAGAGACCGCTCGGCATCTCACCCCTGGCGGAGGGCACTCGAAGCCTTGCTCTTCTTCGATGTGATGTGGGCAATGCAGGAAACGTTCGCAATGGCCATGCGGAACGAAGGCCGAGACCATAACGACACCCGAAAACTACAAGTCGGATACCCAAAGGTGCAACATACCTGGTACAAAGTACACGTATATATCGCTGTCAACATATTCTACACATATCGCTCTCAATAGGCACATATTGGTACGTGAAGCCGAACCAGAACAAGGTCAATATTACATGCTGCCATGTGCAGTTAGAGTGCAACTACAATACGCATCATCAATCGAACAAGGCCAGTTCCAACATCCTCCGAATTGAATCTTGACACACACCTCCACGGACACCGAAAGATCGCTCCCTTCTCCAAGTCAAACCGGGCGTTCTTGCTGGATACGTGCAAAACCTCGCCTTTAGATATGTTGGTGTACACGGTCGACAGATGAATGCATGCACCTCATGCACGGTAACCCTTGCCCGAAAAGGCAACACACTGGGCTTGAAGTACAACCATCGCTCACTATTACATATTACTATTCGGTGGTCTTTCGAATTAAAACACCCGGCGATTAGCGGAACAAACATCTAGGGCAAAGCGCGCCGCCAAGACTCGGCTTCCTCTGTCTTTTCCTTTTGAAATTTAAATACCAAGAGACACATAAGGCCATAGTTCGTCCTTAGTCCTAGTAGTCTTCGTCATACCATGTGCGTATTGATGGTGCCTCCACCACCCTCGAAGGAAGGCACCGAGGGTCCACATGACATGTACTGCAGTCCACGCGTGCATGCAGAGAAGAGGAGAGTTCGAGGTAATTGACACAGCGGAAGACGTGCACATAGATGTCCTCCTCAGATGCTCCTGCTGTTGCTGCTCACCGAGGCTTTCACAGGATGACAAATGCCATTGGACAATATGCACACTTCGAACAAAAGTAGAGCACAAAACATGGGAGAACGCCTTCTTCCCGTACGCTCCAAAACGAGGGCACAAAGGTGGTGGAGCGGACCTCTTTCGCCTTCTGCCGCAAACCTAGATAAGGCCTTCTTCCTCCGCTTCTTCAATCGCTACGCCTGCGGCGACTTCCGCGTCGACCAGGCCCTGGTCGGCCAAGAGACCGCCGTTCTCCGCGGGCACGAGGGCATTCGCCTCCTGGTTCTCCGCCAACTCCTCCGCGTTCTCCACGATCTCCGCCGGGCTCAGCGTAGCGCTGGCGTCGCCGACAACGCTCTCAAGCACAGGCAGCGGCACTTCAGCAAGCTCACTGCAAACAAACGAGGAGGAAGGACAAGGTAGGAGAGGTTTGGGAGGGGGGGAAGCGGGACCGAGGAATTTCCCACAACGACGAGGAGACGTTCAGGTACGAGAAATGAAAAATGTGGTGCCAAGGCGGAAAGAGGTCAGGTCCGCCAGGTACCCGAGCCATCGGGCACGCCGTGTGACCTGTCCCTCTGCTTGTCTCGTTCTTTCTCAAAGAGGACAACAAAAACGAGAACGGCAAGACCCCTGGTGGAGGAAGAGTTGGACGACTGGCGGCGGGTCGAACAAAGAAATGCTGAAGCTGGTGCCGATGATCCGCGGCGCCGACTGGAATCCGAACGCGATTGGTCCGGTGATACTCCAAAAAAGTCGCCGTGAAACCGCTTCGTGATTGGTCCAGTATTTGTGGCCCGTGCCCTCTTTTCTTGTACGCATGGCTTTCAACACTGGCTGGCATATAACAGCTACGATTGCATTGTGCTCGACAGGGTTGCCGGGCACCTCACATACACAAAATACCGCCTTTGTCGCAAACATCCAACAACATTCCATAGGTCTTCTCTCTTCCTTCTTCCGCCCGCCGAACCGGTCATCATACAGCAGTCTTCCTGAACGGCGCGCTACCGTGGTCACAGCAAGCAACTATTTCCAATAAACAACGAATGACACCGGTGCACAGACACAACTTGGATGCCCATCGCACATGTCCCCACGCGAACTTGTAAGCGCCCAGGCTTGATTAGATTGTAGTATTCCAATCCATGGTGAGTGTTGCGGCCGCCACGTCCTTTCTCACCTGGCATCAGGCTTAGCGCCCACCCTAGAGACAGTGGAGGCATCGTCGTCCTTGAGATAGTAGGTGGTGTCGGTGCCGTAAGTCTCGGTGTCTTGGATGGAGAGGCCAGTCGTGGGGATCTGTTTTGCCAGTCGTGTGTTGTTACAAAAATACGCGAAACGTGCTTGTTGCACATGGATTCCAGGCAAGTTTCCGAGAGCAATAAATTGGTTGTATGATGCCACTGAAGTTCGTGCTTTGCCATGCGCTTTGTGTAGTAGCTGGCTGTAACACCGAAGAAAGCTACAATAATGCCCGACCCAGCCCTCTCGTAGGAAACACTCATTTTCGCAAAGGATTCAAGTTGGTGACGCAATGATCGCCATTTCTCTGCCCCTCCATACCAAAAGCTTACCATACACGAGGTAGCATTTGGTACGGTGCCTGCGCTGAGCTCACGTTCTTACTCCTTCAAAGTTGTTGTGAACATGTGAGTGTCGGCATCTGTTGCGAGGCAGTCTTACGAAAGAAGAGCCGGAGCACTGTATAAACCCATAGCATGCATGAAACCGCAAGTCTCGTTGGGACAAAGATGGAAGTCTAGCGTGAATCTCGGAACTTACAGAGGCGGCCGAAGCGGTCGGGACGGTAAGTGGCACGAGGCCGGCCCCGCTGCCCGAGACGTATGTTAAGCCGGTTACAGCCCCGGTAGCGTCGAGGGCCATGGTGACGTACGGGCTCGAGTTGTCCAGGGCCTCGTGGAGCGTGAACTCGGTGCACAGGTCGTCGAACTTGATGCTCTGTTTGGGTCAATCAATTTGGGGATGCAGGGGACGGAGGGGGGGCGTAAACCCACGGACGGGTGCGAATTCATTTATCGTCGCTTGACCTCCGACCTGACAAGGCTGGGCATGCCGTCACCCTCACGCAACGTCGGGCAGGGTATTCTGTACCCGTGTTAGAAGTGAGGAGTGAGGATATCAAGGCTATCAACATTTACTAAGGGACTATCAATCTGCTGGAGAAATTGGGGGAAAAAAGAACTGTTACAATGAGGGTCAGGGGGCGCGAGGAGAGTCCCGTGGCCGCTCGAGTTGCAAAATTTTCTGCCAGCACAGGGAAACAAACCACTTCGTGCATCACCACTTCGGTCGTCCTGTGGGGCGTGTGGCAAGTGCAGGTCCCGTTTCGAACAACGTTTTCGTTCGTTTAACAGCGACGGCAAAGCAAGATGAAACACGCCCCTCCAAGTAGCTCGGCAGTCACCGCGTTGTTGAAACCATCGCACGAGTTGACACGTGTTGGATGCCTTTCCTAGCAGCAGCCTCTACGGGGCTGCTGCTATCCCCTGCGTTTTAGTACCCATGTCATGGCTCACCTTGACCGGGAAGGTGACGTAGCTGGAGAACACCTCCAAGACTCGCTCATACCAGTAGTCGAGGAGGGACTGCGTTCCGTCGCCGACGTCCCCTGCCGGGATGATGTTGGCTTGGTGAAACATGTATTTGTCCCTGTTGCGATCCAAGTGCCATGGGAGGGAGAGTTCCACGTGGAGAGGATCATTCGACGTGCCGCAACAGATAGGTTGGATGAGTTCCGGTGGGATACCAGGACCAACATTTCCAGCATATGCCAGAGCTGACAAACAGTATCCGCTAAAAAACACCAAATGAAAAGTGGGCAGTAAATACTTTCGGGATAACTCTCAGATGAAGAACAACATACACTCCAATTCAACACAACACAACTCGACGAAACCGCACACCCTTCGCAGAACCATCCAATCGGAGGTGGATCGAACTGAGGGCCCGCAGGCCTCGGCGCACGCTTGAAGCAAGAGGCGAGATATCAACACCTCCAGGATACGCCAAGACGGACATCATCTGTTGGGAAACCACCGCCAACTATAAAGCAAACACAGACCTGTCTTCTACCTTTCAGGCACGGAGAATGGAAGCGTACACGAAAAATATGCGTAAGCACGAATAATCGAAGCATACGAAAGTAAAAATGTAATGAACGGAAATACACCGAAACAGCCAGAAACGACAACAACGAAACGGCAGCCGACCTGCGGCCAGTCAGCATGTAGCGCGTGGTGGTGAAGGCCTCGGCGTCGAAGAGGGCTTCGATGTCACCAAAGGATTGGATGTCCGTGGCGCCGTCGCTGTCAAGGCATTCGTCCGCGGTACTCGAGCACATCTTTGGCATTGGGAGTGGAATGACAAGGCAGGGGAGAGCGAGATGAGTCGGTGGAGGACGACTGCTATTAGATTGAAAACGTCTGTAGCTCCGAACGATGACGACTGCCTACACGGTTTACACCGCGACAGCAGTATATCGAAATGATACTAGTGCGGAATGTAGCATTGAAATCGAATGACTTCATCCCTACTGCCAATACTGTTGCACCAGCATTGCCGACGCTACCGTCCGGCTCCGGCAGCATTCAGAAAACTCACGAAGTCGGCGATGCTCGGGTCGAGCGGGGTGCACTCGCAGACGAAGCGCCTGATGTACTCGTTCTCCTTCACTAGGCACTGCAAAAAAGCGCCGGAAACGGAGAGCAACAAGTGGACAAAATAATATACCTGGTAGTAGATAAGGTAAATGACGACAGTAGTATAGCAATTACTATTGAGAGATAGAAGCATGAACAAAACAAGAAGGCGACCGACCATGCCGTCGGTGTCGTATCGTTGACATTGAATCAAGTTCGAGAATTCACCAGGCACTGCAAAACCGCCGGAAACGGGGAGACACGGGGAGACACAGAGAAAAAAAAAGGTACGGCACATGGTCAACACAATAGCTTATTAGGCTGATTCTTTTACGCCTGGATTTCTTTCCCAAAAAACTTCACTTTTCCGGATGGGCAAAAATCCGGCTAGAAAAAAGTACGGCCGTTCTCACAGTGAGCCGGATTCCTAAACAGATTCTTGGGGGGTGGGTGAAGATCAACCCAGACGACTTAATCGGCGAGTGCGAATTGAGTTCTTGACGTGTCGCTCCCATCAAGGGCTCCCAGCAACCCTACGCCGAAAGGCTTGCTATTCTGCACGCTGGCTGTTGATGGTCGCTTCAGCGTAGGGTTGCTGGGACCCCTTGATGGGAGCGATACGTAAAGAACTCAGGTCGCACTCGCCGATTATGTCGTCTGGGTTCACGCAGCGGTGAACTTTTTGGGATGAGAAATCTGGGTGGGCACCATCCTGATTTCTTGCTAACTTTTCGGGTCGAGGCCACCCAAAAAACTGAACCCGGATTGTGTCCACCCGAGAAACTGAAGAATCTGGCTGTATAAGAAGCTGAATTTCGACCCATCCTGAAAAGGGGAGCTTTTGGGGAAAGGAATCGAGGTGCATAAGAATCAGTCTTTGAGGAACTTTACTGGGAGAAGAGAGGACGGAAAAAAAAAGACAAAAAAAACATGCCCTTGGTATCGTATCGTCCGGCATCGCACAGATTTCGAGCCACCAGGGGAAATATTCCGCTTGAACTCGGGCCAAGGCCCTTCAGTGTTGGCGACGGCGTACAAGGCAGACGGTAAGTCGAAGAAGAACCAACCAGCAACGGTCAAACTATCACATCACAGGTGGCCAGAGGGAAAGGTTGAGCACCGATCACAACGTAAAACGTTTGGGTGAGGAGGTTGGCAGGGCGGGATCGACCTTGAACATGCTGTTTGTCATTTGGTAGATCAGCGCCACTATCCAAGATGCCAGGTTAGCTGCACACATTGGCGTGCAACCTCCCCTCGCCAGGTTGCAATCGGTGCCCAACCTTCCGCCACAAAATGGCCTGCCGCCACCCGTGATGGCCAACGTGGTAGCATACACACACAAGAAGGACGTCGCACAAGACGGATGGGAAGAAACGGCACCTCGCCGCGACTCCAGGATCGTGTACAAGCTCGCGAAATCGGGGACGTCAAGCTGCTCACCATGTAAGCACACTGCAAAACACAAGATTAACCAACTCATCGGGTACGATTGCGAGGAAAAGAGTTTGGGAACACTGCATGTTTCTGGACAACATTGAGTCACTCACGTCGCCGGTAACGCAGTTGAAGTAAACGTAGGTCGCGAACCTGGGCACGATCTGGACACCATCGTAGCCTGAGATGATGAGACGAAAACACAAGCAGCATTGGCGCAACAAAGCAGCAGACAATGATCAACTAGAACCGCCAAAACCACGCCGCAGAGGTGCGCGAGCAAACGTGGTGACCGAGGAGAGGTTCGAGTGCGTCCAGGGGGGGGGCGTGACTCACTTCACAATCCCCGACGGGGCTGTCCTACAATTGCGCAGCATCTTGCTCTGATTGGTGAACGCTGTGCCCTGACCTTGGATTCGTGCACCCGGGGATTTTCGACCAACAACCGCCGTGGTGTGCACGGTGTGATTGTGATGCTACCAAAATAACCGTCCTTCCCCCTTGGCGGCGGCACAGCCAATAGCTGCCTCAACAAAGACGCGTTCACTGCTGCATCGACGTGCAAGCCCATACGTGGACTGGACCATCGTTACTCGAAAAAAAAACGGGTCAAGGTTTGTATTGTAGTATGTTCACTGCCCCAAAAGCGCCCGTCTCGTCGTAACCAGACACAAACAACGGCAATGGCTAGAGAAGAGAGAGAGACCCTCGCTGACGGTCGAGGCGCGAACCGGATGTGCCGGAATGGTTTTTCATTGCACGTTTATCACCACAAGACCAAAATATCATCTGGAACGTCGACGCAGGCAATACGTTGGAACGACTAAGGCAAGGGTATACGGCTAGAAGGTACACATTGCCCTCCCTCACCGTTGTCGGCAACGGTCGTGTAGATCGAGTGAAATTGATTGTCTTCGTTGACCAGAATTGCAGCGCCCGACACCGTTCCGTCGAAGGTGTTGTCGCCAGGGTAGCACACCATGAGGTTTTGCGCCGCCGAGTCGAGGCAGTTCTCGTTGAAGAGACCCGTGATGCCGGGCGATACCATTGAGCGCCAGTTGTAGTTGTCGCTGTCCCACATGCCGGTCATGAGAGCGATCTGCACGTTGCCTGAAAATGTGGAAAGAGGTGAGGGAAAGCGGGAAATGTTGTTGAATTACCTTTAAGCTATCCCACATGCCGGTCATGAGAGCGATTTGCACGTCACCCGGTATTCGTAGAAAAGGGGTAACTCTTCTGCCCAAACGCCCGATTGCTTCCTTGCTAGCGGTAGAGGCACGATCGACTGCTCTGCTCCAGGCAACGAGTTCGGTAACCAAGGTCTACAATAATAGTGGCACTTGTAGTATTTGATACACGTACCCGTGTCCTCCGTGACGCAGTCCGACTCGCGAAGCTGGTCGCGGGACAGGTGGATGAGGGTGTGGTGGCCGTGGTAGAACGTGGACGCTGTGTCGAGGTAGCTGATCACCGCCGCGAGAAGCTCGTCGTTGGCCTCCCAGGTGCCGTCGGCCATGTCTTGCTGCATGAGGGGGACGTTGGTGGCGAGCCAGTTGGTGTCGTGCACGTTGATCTGACCTGAAACCACGGGAGGGAGTGGGTCGATGGAGGACGGCAGCGTGGTCTGAACTTTCGGCATGGGGTGTTTGTTCTCGGTGGGTAGTTTACCTCTACAGACTATTGAACGATGCTTTCACGTGACATCGTGCCATTCGGGATTCTAGAGCATCTCTCCGACGTATTTGGACACACTATTTCGGCGATTCAGATTCTGCTGCAGAACAGAAAGACAGAGAGCGAGAGAGAGAAAAGAGACGTATTCTCTTGAAATTGTCATTTGCTCCGGCCGACGGGCCTTGTGACCAATGAGGATCGTCTACCCAGAATACGTCGTTCTTGTTTCGAACGTTGTTGTTGTTCGATTTTGCGTCGCCTTATGATTGCGCAGGTCCTTTACCTGGATGGGGACGAGGAACACGCTTGCATTTTCACTACCCTAACCCAAAGTTGACCTTGTCTATAGACTAGGCATTATCACGAATGTGCACTTGCACAGTCTATCATGGGGGTCAGAGAGAAAGGTTCAAGAACCAAAACTAAAAAGCCAAACAACTCACCGTCTTCGTACCACTTGGTGCCCTTCGTGGTTACCATGGTCTCCTCGTACTCGGGGACGTACGTGATGCCGTCGACCGATTGTGACACCTGGTGGTTGGTGGTACAATACCAAGAACACGTGAGCGTGAGCCGCAGAAGCATCCTCCACCCTAAAAATCCAGCATGGGCACGTTCCAAGACCGGGCAAACTTCCGACGAGCAGAACGTTTGACTCTTCCGTGAGTCTTGGCCTGTGGATCTTATATAGAACGCTCCTGTTCTTCTCAGAACTTTTGTATCGCTGGTAGAACGACATGGTGTCAGCTTTAGCGGATCCATCTCGACTAGGGGGAAGTGCAGCGACTACACAACTTTTTTTTTTCCGAGTGGTTTGTACCCTATTGTTGTTTTGCTCCCCCGCGGCGTCGTATGTGCCGGGTTTTGAGGCCACGGGCTCCCCATTGTGGTCTGAACTTTCGGCATGGGGTGTTTGTTCTCGGTGGGTAGTTTACGTCTCCAGACTGTTGAACGATGCTTTCACGTGTCATCGTGCCATTCGGGATTCTAGAGCATCTCTCCGACGTATTTTGACACACTATTTCGGCGATTCAGATTCTGCTGCAGAACAGAAAGAGAGGGAGAGAGAGAGAAAAGAGACGTCTTCTCTTGAAATTGTCATTTGCTTCGGCCGATGGGCCTTGTGACCAATGAGGATCGTCTACCCAGAAGACGTTGTTCTTGTTTCAAACGTTGTTGTTGTTCGATTCTGCGTCGCCTTGTGATTGCGCAGGTCCTTTACCTGCATGGGTACGAGGAAAACGCTTGCATTTTCACTACCCTAACCCAACGTTGACCTGGTTTATAGGCATTATCACGGATGTGCACTTGCACAGTCTATCATGGGGGTCAGAGAGAAAGGTTCAAGAACCAAAATTATGAAAAGCCAAACAACTCACCGTCTTCGTACCACTTGGTGCCCTTCGTGGTTACCATGGTCTCCTCGTACTCGGGGACGTACGTGATGCCGTCGACCGATTGTGACACCTGGTGGTTGGTGGCACAATACCGAGAACACGTTCGCGTGGGCCGCAGAAGTATCCTCCACCCTGAAAATCCAGCATGGGCACGTTCCAAGACCGGGCAAACTTCCGACGAGCAGAACGTTTGACTCTTCCGTGACTCCTGGCCTGTGGATCTTATATAGAACGCTCCTGCCCTTCTCACAACTTTTGTATCGCTGGTAGAACGACATGGTGTCAGCTTTAGCGGATCCATCTCGACTAGAGGGAAGTGCAGCGACTACACAGCTTTTTTTTTTCCGAGTGGTTTGTACCCTATTGTTGTTTTGTTCCCCCGCGGCGTCGTATGTGCCGGGTTTTGAGGCCACGGGCTCCCCATATTTTGTGGACTGTAGAGCTAATGTAAGAAACAACAACAGACAAAAACCACCCCGCGGCGGGATTATAAAACGCGGTGCCAACACACATGCCAGACTGTGTCACTCATCTTTCCGCTCGTGTACCCGAGGTTGATTGGTGTTAAAATACGGCAACCAACATCCAGCGGTGGACAGTTGTCGGTCAATAACCGAGGTTTTGTGACGAAGCAGGAGGCGTTGAAACGTCGGCGTTTCATCACTAGGCGGATCATGTTGGAAGCCAACAGCAAGAAAGTAAGACAACCTACACACACGCGCTTTACTTCAGCCGTGGAATTTTTAGACCAACAGTCTCCTCGGAAATCGAATCCTTCGCGTGGTTACAGTTCACTTCGTGCGATGGCTGTCGTCCGGAAGAATCCAACAGACGTAAACATCTCGAGACGTATACCCCAGCAAACGCACATGCTCCGCGATCCCGCCGCCGTTGAAGGCGAACTCGGTTATGATGTCCGACCCCGAGTACTGGGTGTTGAGGGCTTGCTGCACGCTGAGCAGGTTGCTCAGGTCCTCCCCCGTGCACCGCTGGGCGACGGCGGCCTCGTTCATTTCTCCGTTGTACTCGAACTCCGGGGTGGAGAGGAAGAGGTCGTCGACGACCGCTGCCAGGTAGAAGCGGCGCTCTCCCTAGTCGAGTGGGGGAGAGGGGAGGAAGGTTGGACGGATGCATAGTTGGGGGCAGCAGGAGCTCCGTACTTGACAACCGCGCGTCTCTCATGAGACGGAATTTCGTCTCTACTCCGCATGGTCCGTGAGTAGGGAGGGGTCGGGGATAGGGTAGTGGCGGTCCTACTGCAGTGAGTGGGTAACATCATCTATCATCATCCACCGACACTGGACATTATCCTATAACCGGCAAGAAGATTTTCGAATTTCACTCTGCTCTCACGAGCTTCTAGACATATATCCAGTGGGAATTGCTACAGAACGGTTGCATCAGCGTCGTACCCCGTGAACGGTGACGACGTCAGAAGCAGAGCACCATCAACAACAAAGCACGCACCATGAAGATGCCCTTGGTGGCCCACTCGTTGTAGAAGTGCGCCCACGGCCACGCGCCGGCGTCAAACCAGCCGATGGTGTTGAAGACGTGTAGCTCCTCGTGGCCGTCGGCACCGGTGTAGCTAAGCACCGCAGCGTTCTCCTGGTCGCCCGCGAAACCGGAAAGGTAAGGGTCGCCGGCACTATCGACGTACCTGCACATGGGGCGGGACAGGATGGATGGGGCGGGGGGTGCATCAGAAGGGCAACCACAAGGGTAACCGAACAAAGCGTCCCAATGACGTATGCTTCTGCGGACAACATGGGGGGCAGCACATACCTCAGATATTTAGCGCCAGTCTGTTGGGGTCACTGTCGTGGTAGTCTTGGCCAGAATGAACGAACGGAACGCCGGTACCGCCGTCGCCATCTTAAAAACAGAAAAACTCACTGCGCAAGAACCTCGACCACCCCCTCCTCAGGAACCGCGTTGATGATCACCGGGTAGCTGAACAGGGGGGGGCTGAAGAGGTTCGGGTCGGTCTGGAAGCCGGGCTGCGTGATGGACACCTTAGTGCTTCCCAAGTCTAGATGGGGTCGAGATCATGAATCAGACGAGGGGCGGCAGGTGCAAAAATGAAGGGCAAAAAAAGGACGACAGTTTCGACTTACACATTAACGTGCATTCGCCAATAAGACCTTGAGAGAGCGAGGGGAGGAACTTTAAGCGGGGGGTGGGGGAGACAGAGGAACACGAGGGAATGAAAACAATTGTTGGACGACGGGAAACGGCCAACCACACGGAGCTGAACACAGAGACCGCGCGCCGTTCGGCAGCAGGGGCTCGGGTGAGAAAGAACTGCAAGCGCGAGGCGGGGGGGGGTTACTGCCGCAGCAAGCGCTGACAACAAGATGACAATGGAAACAGGGCCACGGCCACTGCGCTGCTTCGCCCCACATATAGATAGTTTCACTTATTGTTGCTGTGCTTACAAAACCAGGGTTCATTGAGAGGTGAAACTCACCGCTGAGCTGAACGAACGCAGGAGTCGTTATGTCGCCGGCGAAGTACGTCTGGATCCCGAGCTTCGCCGTAAACTCTGCGGTGGTGTGGGTGAGAGCGGAAGGGAAGTAGACGAGACGGACCTGCACAAATGGAAGCGATAGAGAGAGAGAACGACACAGGAAATTTTGAGACAGATCGTACGCACCGGCAATGCCAAGGGGTAGGACCAGTTGCAGTCCGGGATGAACATGCACACATGCCACTACACGAGTGCTCTTAGTACCTCAGAAGTCAAGCTGGCGTTGGCACTTCTGTCTCAAAACTTTGTACGGAGTACTGTATGAACCAGGCACGAAGCAAGGCGATAAACACCGCACGCCCGCACAAACCAGCAGGTGAGAACCAACGGGGTAATAGATTTTTCCCCTACACTGCTATCGGTGGCTTTACAGTAGCGATTGGCCACTGGATACTTCAAAGCGCACGTGAAGCCAGTCTACGACATAATTCTCAAGTAAAAACTGTAGGTGTACAGCAGACCTGTAGATAAAAGAGTACTTCAGGCAGCATTTGTTCACGAGAGCACATAGTAGTCTACATGAATCGATCGATGGAATTTTTAGAGAAACAACGAAACCAGTTGCAAATATGCGATCAACTAGACCTTGCCTATAGAGAGGTAAATGATACTCGCGTGCCACATTGTACCTTGAACTGCGCCGAGTAGGCGGTGAGAGCGGCAACCTGAGAGGTCGACGGCGCGTAGCCGATGTACACGGCGTTGCACAATCCGTGGGGCGTGGCGTCGGTCGAGTCTACTAGAAGGGCCGTAAGGTCGTCGGTTTCAGACACGACATACTCCTCCTGTAGCCCCAGCAACATCAGCAGCAGCGGTTGCGAAGACAGTTGTCGCGTCGGCATGGATTAGCTGTGATCGGGTAGCAGGCTTCAATGCGTGCGGTTGATTGATTCGGAAGGCGCGATTCGCGGGCTTCGGCTTCGTCGGCGCGACTCAAATGGTCTAACGGGACCTCGCCTCAACTTTGACGAGGTCATTCATCCGCACAGTAGATTCGTTTCGCGACATGAACAGAAAGACGCGTCGTGGTGTTGAGTGCGGCATCTCCCAACCTCAACAGAAGAAGAACAACTCACCGTCTTGGGAGACCAGTATCCCTTAAAGAACAGCGACATGATTTTGAGTGCGGCATCTCCCAACCTCAACAGAAGAAGAACAACTCACCGTCTTGGGAGACCAGTATCCCTTAAAGAACAGCGACATGATATACAGTGCTGGGTTGTTCTCGTTCGACTCCCCAACCTGGGTTACCATCAACCACGAGAAACGAAACGGTAATAAAATGTTAAGTTGTAAAGTACGTCGTAGATACTTATGCGCGGGTAGATCAGTTGAGCATGTGGACCACATGTGACTGCGTAGGGAGGAGACTGACGTGATGGAAAAGAGGCACGATGAAATCAACGGGAAAGGCACAGGCAATTGTTTCACTGCTGTTCCTCGTGTCATCTCAGCCTACCGGTTGCACCTTTGCCAGGCTTCTCTCAGCCCTACAAATAGTCCTGAAAGTGTTTGTCGACCTTCGTTGCCACGCATGACAAAGATTGCCTATTTTTTCAAAAGACAACGTGCGCCATGCAGGAGAATCTGCACACGCTGTAGTCTATGGATTACTACTATCTGATAATGTTGCATACGCACGGCCACGGAGGAGAGCAGGCAGGGCACTAGGTCCACCAGAACGTCTCCGCTGACAGCCGCAGTAGGGGCCGTGGTAGGCGGGGCCGTGGTAGGCGGAGCGGTGGTAGGCGGTGCCGTGGTAGGCGGAGCCGTGGTAGGCGGAGCGGTGACAGGCGGTGCCGTGGTAGGCGGAGCCGTGGTAGGCGGTGCCGTGGTAGGCGGGGCCGTGGTAGGCGGAGCGGTGACAGGCGGTGCCGTGGTAGGCGGAGCCGTCACAGGCGGTGCCGTGGTAGGCGGTGCCGTGGTAGGTGGGGCCGTGGTAGGCGGAGCGGTGACAGGCGGTGCCGTGGTAGGCGGAGCCGTCACAGGCGGTGCCGTGGTAGGCGGTGCCGTGGTAGGTGGGGCCGTGGTAGGCGGAGCGGTGACAGGCGGTGCCGTGGTAGGCGGTGCCGTGGTAGGCGGGGCCGTGGTGGGTGGTGCCGTCACGCCGTCTGTTGTCATCGTTGAACATATGGCAGGCCATAACGGCGACAGAGCAGGGGCGACATTTGGGGGGAGGTGATTGGGAACAGAAATAGATTTGTAATCGCCGAACCCCTCCATCATCACTACCACAACCACCACCACGCAACAACTGTCTACGATTATACTTCAAGGAAAGCGTTATCGACATTGAAGAAGGGATGCGCATATTTGGCGTCCCAATGAATGCTTACCGTCCATGGCGTACACATCCATGGCCCAAAAGCCACCGCAGGTGGACGACTCGTCTCCGGTGCACGAGAGAACGCAGTTGTCCGATTCGCCGTAGACGGTGTAATCCTCGTCCGCAGTGCCACAGAAGCACCTAACATCGTGCATGAACGCCGAGGGGGCCGAAACAGAGAACAAGTTTTAGAGAAAGAGCTCGAGGGAAATGGGCGTTCTTGCCGCGGTAGCATGGATTGGGTGCATTCAGGTATCCGGACCACAAGACAAGAAAAAGTGCAAGGCCAGCTTGCTGTGCCTTGCTCCTGTACAAGAAACCCCGACCAAGTCGCCGACTCCTTCGTCGTCTCTGAGCACTTCTAGCCCAATAGAGGAGTAATCGAGAACAGAATAACAACCCAACAGTGCAATTGCAGTTGATAATAACAACACGACCTTCGCTCTTGCAACGGAAAACAACCAAAAAACACGAAAATGTCTCCCACTCACTCTTTTCTGTACTGCAGCCCATAGTAAGCATAACCGACGCAGGCGGCCTTACAGGTCTGCGAGAGATTGACGGGCGGAATACCACAGATGCGAGTTAGTTCTCACGGGTCACTGATGGATGGGTCATTTTCCGAGAAAGAGGGTCTAGAGGCCAACGACTCTGTCTGCCAGATCAACATGTATTCTGATGTACAACACAAACACACGTGCGGCGGAAAAGTGAAACTGCAATGAATGGTGTAGATACCGTACTTCTTCGCCACCGAGACCACAAAAACAACGACGATAGTTGGGGTGACAACAACGAGATGACAATTCCACCTCGGAGATGACCGTTTGTCTGCGAATACGGGGGCGCGATTATGCCCCAGCTCGCAACAACAGGGTAACAAACACAACACGTACCTCCACACTGTTGTCGGAGCTAACAATCCTTGGCGCCGAGAATATTCTGGACCAGGTATCCGCATAGCAGCCAAGGTACCCCGTGATCTGATGGACGATGGGAGCCGGGAGCGCGGTGGGCGGAGCGGGCGTAGGCTCATTCTGGGACCCAACTCACAATAACAGGGAACCCGTGATGTGCTTTTTTGCCCGTGTTCCGAGCAAAAGCAGAATCAGGAGTTAGTTTTTACCCGTTTTTTACGCGACTGGCTTGACTTGACTTTGTTTTTTCCGTTCACACAGCAAATCGACCTCACGATTTCCCTCTTTGGCGAGGCGCGCCAACGATCTTCCGGCGCACAACGTTATCGTACTGCTATCGTGCATGCAGTCACATAGCTAAAAAGACTCCGCGACCAAGATGTCAGAGCGCATGACCAGGGCACAAGAGACACACACGGGCATATTGAAGCGAGTCCACACCCCGGCATCGAAATTCAACAAGTTTTTGTTTATGAGTTGTCCGCTTTCTTGTCCAATAGACAAGTCAAGCGACAGGTTCTGTCAAACGTATGATCGAGTGTCAAACAATAGCTGCTCGTTGTTCCTTCGCTGGCCGCAACGATACAGTCGTCCCCGCTTTAAAAACACCATTTTTAAAGACACTCCTCGCTTCAAGGACACGAAAAATCTCAGAAACATGGTGCCCCGCAGATGTGAAAAAGTAGGAGGGTGGTAGGGTTATCCACCATTCGACCGCCCCCAGAAAATGTGCTGCAGCACCTGTAGATCCTGGATCATCAACAGCGGTCTGCTGCGGCCGCACACTGCGTGTGGGTGCATGGAAAGATTCATCCCATCTGCTAGCGGTTCATCTGCTGCCGGCTTGAAGCCATGCGGCGAACCGACGTGCCAGTTCAAATCTGCACTGATGTCACTGATTCACATCAGTGTCCGTGCGGGCGACCCGTGCACGCGTTGTGGTGGTAGAGTACGGGGAAATTCAAACAATGGTACGAAAGTATGTATTCCAGCACAAAAGCAGCAGTGGTTGCGACCTTCAAATCACCTTGTGTCGTAGGTTTCAAACAACACCTCTTGTGGTCGTCTTTCTGCTGCGAATGCGCACCAATTGGCATATGTTTCGCCTTCATTGGCCCCGGGGATTGTGCGTTACTGGCCCCGGAAGTTGAAAGACTCTTCCCCGCGTTCAAGACACTTTTGGGTGGGAAAACGTGGTGTGTCTTTAAAGCGGGGTCGACTGTGCCGTTGCCAGATTTTATCTTGACAAAACGACGGATAGATGTGATTGCGGCAGGACGCCGGACTCCACGGGTCTCGCACACTTGCCACAGTTTTGCTAAACCGCCCATGGGCACCACGTTGGGCCCATGGTGGGCAGCCCATGGGCGGCCAATCGTGCCATTCAACCGGAACTATAATAGTGTACTTCTGAACAAGATTATCTGGTTTGGAACGGGCATAGGCATAGACCAATAGCGGCGAACAACCCTAACGCTAACCCTAACTCCAAGCCCACAAGATGCGTGCTAGGTGGCGCCGGTGGCTAACTTGTAGGTTGATATGCCGGTGGCTACTGACTGTAGGTTGAATTACCCACGGGCGGCCCATGGGCGCCCCATAGGTGTCCCCTATGGGCGGTTTACCAAAACTGCTAGTAGTGTGGGAGATTGGACTCCACAAGGCTCATGGAATGCAACGATGCTGTGGAAGCCGGTGTGACACTACTTTCCAGTGTTCAGGCGCATAGTACCATATATTGTGACGTGAAAATAACGATCCGGGAAAAGACGGTCGTGTTGGCCTTTGTTGGGATCAAAGTATGTGATTACCCCGAGGTTACCCCGGAAAGGACACATTGTTGACCACGAAGAAGGGCATATACCGTGGCCCAATCGACGAGTTCGCTCTGACTTGTGGTGCGTGCAGTTGCACCAAACTTGAGAGGCTGAGGCCGTGGGTACTTATTAATCGCGCTCAAACAAATGAAATACGTGCACTCGTAAATAATAGTGGGGACACCTCCAACACGGAGGAAATGTTAACTGACGTTGGGTCGGTGGGACCTCCTCGGCGTGACACGTTAATTGGACCACGTTGGACAATTGGACAAACAAAGCAAGCACCCACAGCAGTCTCGAGGGAATCGTGAAGTGTTATGGTTTTCCATTGTCAGTGCTGAGGAACGGTGGCAGGCAATGTTCGGGTGGACGTGCACTTCATGTGCGTTATCCTGTCACTCAGCGTGCAGCCAGCGGTACATCATATCAATTTAGTAACGCCTGAAACAGGCCAGTTTTTCGTTTTCTGGAGCCCTCTGCTGGCCGGACACAGGACACCACTTTCATTTGGACACACTGCTGTACAAGACTGGTCGCCCCGGTCGTCTAGTGGTATCCTCGTAATCCGCTAGTCGCGGAAGTCGTGTTATCGAATCGCCATGGGGTGAACGATTTACGAAACGTGCGGATGGCTGACAAGCTCTCGTGAGTACCAAACTTGGACGTTAGTACCGTTGACGAGGGAAAGAGACGGCTGGACCCTTCTCGCGATGAAAATAAAATTCAGCACGCACCGCAGGAAGAAGGTGGTATTCGATATACTCGTAGCATAGCATGCGGGTGTTATATTGCGAATACATATGCGGGATTTGCAGCGACGAACTACGGAGGAACAAGAAATTTCTTTATGTTTTCCTTGGGAGTGTGGTAGATTGGTGGACATTCATGAAGATTCGCCTTGGGTGTTTAAGCGTTATTCGTGACTTGGTGCCGTGATGGAACGACGAGCACGCCCCCGATTAATACAACACGTTTTACAACACGTTTTTCAACACGTCTGCACGACTTTACCTACCCCTACGGCCCGTCACGGCCGAGCTGCTCTACACTCTCCCATCTCACACAATTGAGCCACCGGAATTATCGATCAGGTGGGGCATAAAAAACATAAAAAGAAGAAAAACGCCCCGGTGTTCACCCCCTCCTGTGTAACCCTGGATGGTTGTAGTTGTACGAAAAAAGGCACTGAAAAGTGTAGTACTCTACATTCGCTGAGAAATGTAGTGCACGTCTCACCACAAAAAATGGGGGGACTGTCGCCATAATAAATAGGACGAATTGTGTTTCAACCGCACTAAGACTGACGTCTTTTCATTGGTCAGCCGGTTAGCGCCGTCGAGGCTAATAATAAAACACACACACAACGCACACAAACGAAAGGGCACATATTAATTCTATATAGTCTCGAGAGATTCTCGGCGTTCGTTCGGATTTATTTTCCGTGTTCATGCTGTTGGGCGATTTCCAATCTCTCTCTCCCTTCTCTGTCTGTTTGTCTCTCTCGTGCCCTGCGCTCACACTCTCGGCAGCCTGCCATGAACACCCTTACTCTCAGTCAATGCTGGTGGGATGTAGACACATTGTGCTCCCCACCAGAAACGCATGCAGCTAGCACTCTCGCTTGCTTCTCTCGATGATTCTGTTCTGATTTCTGCCTTGTGTATGGTGCGCGGGTGGGTGCGGATCAGGAGCTGCCATCATACACCGGTCGCCCCGGTGGTCTAGTGGGTAGCCTCGCAGCCTGCTAAGGGCCAGGTCATGGGTTCGAGTCCCGGCAGGGAGAGTTTTTTTCTCACTAAATAAATCCTGGTCTAGGATGAAAGCGACGCGCTGCAAAGCTCGTTTGTTAGTAAACCATAATCGACTTCGTAAGTCGCGAGGGAAGGGATTGCTGTACCCTTCTCGCGATAAAAATACCTCAGGCATGAACCGCAGGAGGGGGTCCAACCCCCCCCTCCTATGTGACCCCGGTTGGGTCGTCTAGCCAGTAGAAGTGGAGGATAGGGGCCAGAGGGGCAGACGGCAGAGTCCAATGATGGGAGAGAAACAAACAAACAAAAACATCGTCGGACAGCTTGCCGAGAGGGCCTGGCTGCATACCTCGCACGTCCAGTGGTGCTTTGTTGCAGAAATTGCACAAATCACGTCCTATCAAAAACACAATCCCCTCATGCCGGTTCTCTTCCGTCTTGGGAAGTGTCGCTTCTCTCCGCGTGTGGTGGTGTTGGCGGAACCGCCAAGCCGCAAGACTCTCCATTGGTACTATGTACTTAAAATTACAGTTCTCTTCTCCGGGAAACATGCGAGCGTCAAAAAGTTCCTCCGCCAGGCACTCACTCGCCAAACCTGACGGACAGGAGCCAGCGTTCCTTGGATCGCATCGTAATGCCGGGGTGTGCATCATAAGAAGTGATGAGCACAAGCACAAACGCGTGACAGGGCAAGCGACCGGGCATGTGCACGAAGTCTACTCTGCAGGCGGTGGCAAAGGGCCCCTGACTTAACGCGGCGCGACAAAATACGATAACGAACATGCCCACCATCCGCACTGCTGTTGTGTGGCCTGCAATACGTACATAACAATACTTGTATGCATACCACGAACAGCAACAAGCAGCATCCTAGGGCACGCAACCTGGCAGGCGAAGCAACGCTGACAAATACGATGCTGAACTTGCGGGCCCCTTACCGTCGTTTGAAGTCTGCGGGTAGTAGCAGGGATAGTGACCGGGACGTCTCCATGAGCACGAATCCCAATCGCATTCCCAGTGGCGGCAAACAGGGTGCCTGTTACCAGCGCAAGCTGCGGCGATCGCGGCATGGCTGCTATTCCCAGTCCGTAATTGGAGGTCGGCGAAGAGGCTAAAGCCCGAATCACACCACCACCAATTCAGCAGGATGACAGCGGTGGGTTGAGTTGGGGTGTCGTTCCAAGAGAACGGGAGGATCTGTGATGGTTGTTATGTTGCGGGCTTCGCTATCGGTGTGTGTGGAGAGGGGTGTCAGAGGACGATTCGGCCCGTAAACATGAAGATTCAGATTTACGATTTTTTTTTTGTCTTCACTTCAAATCAGATCTCACGGCACTAGATTAGCGGGCCCCCGAAGAAGATATTTGGACGTGGAACCGACAGGTAACGAAGATGTCCTGCGTTCGCAGTTCTACACCAGCATGTGGCGTCACGTGCAAGTAGTGGTTGTCACAACCTCGGCGGCGAAGAACTCGAATTTGCTATGAAGCAGGGATGCAATAGAGCGAAGCATCCCTTCTCCCCCGTGTTGTAGCTTCTTGCTGTGGAACCAGTACATATTACCAATTTTTCGAAGGGATCTTCATACGCTAAAATGGTTCAATTTGATAGCTGTTGATTGGACAGCAGTTTGCAGACACGTCACGCGAACCAGTTTTGTGGTCTCAGCGTGCGGCTGGGCTGAGGCTCCTGGAGTGTGTGCGACGCCGCTGGGTTGCGTGTTTCCTCGCACACGGTGGCGTTCGCCACACCTCACCCCACCCACTAAGGTTGTAAAAACACGCACCAGTCTAGCGAACCGTTCAGCCGATGGCTTTACCCCACGGAAGTGGAGGAGGAGCAGGAGGCAGTGGCCAGCCACCCTGCAGCACATCCAGCGGCAGTTCGCGGGATCATGCTGGTACGGCTGGACCCGACCTTGCACTCGGAGAGCAGGAGCGCCTTCTTTCTCACGCCACCAACGGACTATAGATCACGGGCGCCTTCCAGCGAGCACCAGCGCAGCGGGGTTCTGGCAGTACTTGGCATCAACCGGCGTGGAACTCCAGCTCGACGGCCGGCCCCGACCAGACAACGTTTCGCGCAATTGTCTGGCTGCCGGGGATAAGGGTGGGAGACAACAAATCCAGTCGAGCACAAACTCAACAACCAGCCGCATCTGGCGAGGTCGCAGGGCACACTGATTCCTCCACGTCATCAACGGCCGTCATCACACATCGGCCTTGCCGCTGCTGTGACGGCATCTCAAGCACCAGGGGCGGTGGAGACGGTTGCGGGCGTGCCCAATGGCACAGAGATTGGAATGCCTCCGCCGCGTGTGCCCCTCTCCTCTGCTGCTCTTGGGCAGGCAGCGTTAGCGGAGGAACTCGGAAACGTTGGAACTGCGGGAATGGAAGCGGCGGGGGTGGGAGCTGGGAGCGGCCAGGGGGTGGCGGCGTGGGAAGGATCAGGGGCAGCGGGAGGTTTGGCTTTATCTTTCGCTGGCTCTGTGTATTGTTCGGTGCAGGGGGGCGCGGCCAGTGGGGTAGTGCCACAGCAACCTCTCCCAGGGGTGGTGGCAACGACGAGGAGGAAGATGACAGCAATGGTAACTGGGCGCCCACCCCGATCCCCATCCCACATGGCTTATCTCTGAATAAAACTAGCTGGTGCTGTGGGAGAACGGAGACGATTCGGTCTATATGCGGCGGGTGTAACCGACGATGGCACTGCCACATTGCGCATGGATTGATTGACATGGACAAAGATCGCTTCACCTGCTGCTTCTGCGACTCGCCGATGAGGGCTGCGGCGGGATGTTCGTGTCACAAGTGAGTTCCGTTGTTTTTCTATGTCTAGCCTTTTCCCGCACTTTGCGCTTTCCTTTTGCTGCGATTCCATGCCGACGCTGAAGGGTTCCGCTTCAGGGAGGTATATCCAGGGACGTTCCACTGGCGTTGTATTCGAGAAGGTGGATTCGAGCGCTTTTGCTGAACGAGGTTGTGCGATGTACGTTCTACCAATACTTCTAATACTTTGTGGTTGCTGTTCAGCGTTCTGCAGTGCATCTGATAACCCTCGATGTTGTTTACTGTTGAGCACCTAGATCCTCCGCATTAATGACATTCAGCCTCAGCCTTGTAACATGGACAACGTTGAGCTGAGCGATAAGAAAATTTCCTTGCCACCACGCACTTTTTAATGCAGGTGCGTGGGCAACGCCAGGTACAGAACCAACTCTGCAACTCGTGCACAAGGCGGCCACGTACGAGCGAGTGCCGTTGATCGAACGGCGGGGCGGCGGAAGCCTACGACCAGCGTTTTCAAGCTCAAGCCCGACCCCCTGCTCACAGGAGATAGCTCGAGCGGCTGGCAGAAGGCAGTGTACTCTGTTTCCACGACCACTCGGGGTGAGCGCGTCACCGTCGTCACGAACTTCATCCCCAACGAGCCTGGAAGCTACAAGATTGTCTGCTGCAGCAGCCAGTGCATCTCCACGTAAGTCGTTTTGTGAGATGAGTTCGGAGTTTAGATTCGACCTGGCCGTTTTGATTGTTCGTATCCAACATACGGAGTAACTCAGTTAAATGCTTCCCCCGGAGTTATTAGATCGTGATCAATACCGTTGTGCGTGCGGCCAGAGCTCTTATAGGTGAACTTATGCGGTTGAACTAATGTGTAAACTCTTTCGCCGTGATTTCGTGATTTGCAGCACCCACGCGCAGGAACCCGACCCCGCCGAAAACGTCCAGCGAATGGCAGTCGCCCGGTGTGACCACGCCATCGTAGTCGTTGGAAGCGGGACACTCCCAGTCCCGAGGGCTGGCATTCGTGACGCCACGCCTGTCGTGTTTGGCAAGAACGGAGAAGGAGTCGTCGCCTTGGCTGACAAGGCAGCGCAAGAGATGCAGTTGGGACAGAGCGGTCTGTCGGACGTTTTGCGAATGGCGGCGATGGCCGAGGAGCATGATATGCCGTTGTTGGTGCACTTCAGCGACACCAGAAGCTACGCCGTGTACCACCCAGGGCATCGATCAATTGTAGAAGGCTGGGCGGTCGTGCAGTGCGAAATCGACTTGCAAGATGGAGCTGGTGGTGCACGAAGGAGTAGGAGGACACCCGCGAAGAGGAGTTCCCAAAGTTTCCGATGCAAGGTATCGTCCGTCTGAGGTAGCAGCGGGGAATGTACTAGTTCGAAGATATACTGTTGTGTTTTTTGTCGTCGTGTTCTGGACGTAAATAGTTTTTTTGTGTGGGTGGTGGACACTCAGATGTAGCTTGCCTGCTAGGCTCGGCACAGTGGTGTTGCCCACGAACGGCCAGAGACGTCTTTTTACCTCTAGCTTGAGACGGTAAGCACTGTAGCTGCTATCACACAGAGGAAACGCCAATTAACTGTCACTCCAGTTCGTTTCTACCGACGAAACTAGGTGAATGCCATAATTTGATCATATATTTTCTCTCCCTTCCGTGGTCCCCTTTTNACTGTCACTCCAGTTCGTTTCTACCGACGAAACTAGGTGAATGCCATGATTTGATCATATATTTTCTCTCCCTCCCGTGGTCCCCTTTATCCTTTGGTTGGTTAGGCTAATGGAGGGACGCCATGCGGTGCAGCGAGGAAGTCCAAGCGTGGGAGGTGTGTCCACACGAACATCACGGCGCTGGGTGTTATGGGCAGCCAAATTAGCGAGGAGCCCATCGACGAGGAGGAAGGGGAAGGTTCCGGCGACGAAGGCGTTGGCTCAGCGGCGTCAGAGTATAGGCGCAACAAACCCGCGTTTGCATCAAAGGTAGACAAGCTGTTGGGGGTAATCGGCATAATCAAGTTCCCGGTAGAGGTCCTTGCTGTCCTGACCGACGAGGGAGCAAGGGGCAGTCTCGACGGCGTTGGCGGCAAGCGAAAAGAGATCTGCAGCCTCCAGGCGGTGTGCCAAAAGTGCGGCAACATGCTTGGCCTATTGCGAAGCGAAACGATCACAGCCGTGGTTCCGGTGAGTGGAGTTGGCGATGGTGGAATGTTGTGGTGAGGTGCGATGATTCAGAGCTTGTGATCGCACGTTGCACCCTGGGCCAATGTCATTGTAGTTTATTGGTGAAGAACCTTTGGGAAGATCGGGCAGGACAGGAGAAGAGGGGGACGGCACTATGGGTAAGGGTTCCGCGCACCGATTGACAATTTGTGTATGACGCGAAGACTCAATGCCAGATTGCGACTATGTTTTCAATGGGAGAGAATATAGTGTAGGATAAAACACTAACAAACACTTAACATATTTGATTGCCTTTCAAATATTGAAAAATAATTTGGGATTGTGTTCAATCCTTCATCTCCCCGGGCCGCCCTGTTGTTTTCCTGTAATCTCACTGCCCAGGGTCCGGACTTGCAGGAAGTTGTGATAAAGATCAAGGGCTGTGAGGGCTGCGGTGTGGAAGCAGTGACGGGTGATGATTGGCGAGAGCACGGGTATTTCCTGTTCGGCAACAAGTTTGCGGTACATCTCTCGCACATGGTCACGGCCCGGCATGCCGTTCAAGGAGGCACGGCCATAAGCCATGCGTTCAACAACCTCCTCCGACCTTTGACGAACAACCTGCGATGGATGAGCCAGAACAAGTTGGCGAGAAGGTGGGAAGCTTGGCCGGGAGAGGGCAAGGGTATGAGATTCAACCTTGCCGGGGGCAAGGTGACTCGGGAGTTGCGTGGTTCTAGCGGTACCAACAAGATCGAGATCAGCACGACCCACCACACTTCCCGACGACCGGGCTTTCTCCATTACCTCGTGTGCTTGCTAAGACGATGGAGTATAGTGAGAACTTGGGACGTGCGCTTAAATATTGACGTATGTTCTCATGCCTTACGTTCGTACCTGTTTCCCACCCCGTTCTGCCCTCTTGCCTGCCGTACTCTGCCGCACGCCAGAGTCCTACAAAACAATTACCTCACGAAGCAGTTGGTGGACGCCTTCGTTTGCTTCGAGGCCCTCACCGACCACCCGTACGCGTTCCGCAGCTACAAGCACGGCTACACCCCACTTGTCAGCGAATGGGATGGCTGCAACAAGCCGGCCGTGAACATCAGCATGGAAGAGTATTTCGGAGCGCGCGAGGAGCAGGTGGTGGACATGGACCTCGACTGGCTCTGGCTCATCATCAGCATGCTGTCGCCGATGGTTTTTCGGGAGACACTCCAGTTCTCGTACAACACGCCTGTCACCTTTTGCCCCCAAAACCGGAAGTCTAACATCATCACCATTCCCGCTCGCGGGAAAGCCCGGCAGCCAGGAGATGTCGAGGCAGCCGATGGCAAGGTACTCATGGACTACGTGGCGACGAAGGGAGAGGGGCAGCTGTTGGAGGACATGTTGGAAGGCATGACCAAGGACGACCTGGACGCCTTGTACTGCTTGTGCTTTGGGAAGAACGGGCCGGGAATGAGCAGGTGAGTCGATGTGTTTAAACACGACTCTTTTGCTGCTCCTCCAAGTACACACGGAGATACTTTATGTTGGGGTGTGGTGCGGTCAATTTGGCTGGAGACGGCGGTTGATCGATTTGGCACGATTTTATAGATCCAACACGGATCCAACAAAGTATGTAGAATAACCGGGACTTTTTTCGATAATAGTCTCGCAGATATGTAGGATAATCGTCGTGCTCGTGTTCGGTGCAATCGTATTTGTTTCCTGTCGGTCTCGCGTGTGCTGCTCTTCGTTAATCTTCTTGCAGGTACAGCACGAAGGCACTGATGCAGAAGCTGTTCAAGGATGTGGCGGAGCATTGGGGGAAAACAAACTTCGGGAAGGAGGACTGCGCTAAGTTCTTCGTGGACAGAGGGGGGGTGTTGGTGTCGTCTGGCGTCGAGGGCGGATATACACCAGATGGGGTCATGACGTGCCACATGTTCATGTTGCGCGCGGAGAGTGCATCGGACTTGGCGGTGCTGCTGCTCCACCATTTGGTGAGTCGTTTTTGTCTTTGTGGATAGGGAGAGTTTGGTGTCTAACTCAGCACGACAGCAGAACTGGAGACGAACCACTTGAGGCGGCACGTGGCTAATATATGACGACATTGTGTTCGTGGTGCACATATCAGGTGGGAACGAAAAAAAAACAAAAACATTCTGGTCCCTTACAACTGAGTACCGTACGTATGTACGGCCACCAGTTTGTGTTTTTCTTTTCAATGAGGCTCAGCATGCGTGCATGGGTCACAGTCAGATCTTAACAAATAAAGCTGCGTTTTTGATCGCTGGGAGACCCGAAACCCGTAGTGCGTGTTGTGATCAAAAAAGGCGGTGCTAGCCCTCTGGTCCACAACGGTGCCACCAGCCAGAAATATTATTCTCCTTCTTTTCTGACCTCTTGCGGTGTACGGGGAGCGCACGGTGCTCTTCCACCACACAGACGCGTGTTGAAACCATCGAATCGACACTCCGGTCATGAGAGGGAGGGTAGTGGAGTCATAGTTGCGTGTCCACATTCTGCTTTTTTCAGAATTGTTTTTCGGGGTATTTTTTAACCGGGGTGCATGGCCGGGAAATGGTACTGCGAGACCGGCACGTGGGCGAATCCAGACATCTAAAGCTCTACATGATCCTTATACACCCCGTCAATTGCCGAATACTCCACGGGGTCGTCAAGAAAAAAAAATGAAGAGGCAGAACGAGGAAAACTGCATGAACGGAGGATTAACCGGCAACTTTGGTGGTCTGTTGGTAGTAGACCAGCGTGAGTCGTTGGCCAAGCAAAGGTCTTTTACTTTTTCCCGGAAAATTTCAGCGGAGTTGTGCGTGCATGCGTCGTGACCGCCTTGTGAAAAGACAATTAAAGGTTTTTGGGCACGCTTGTATGCAAAATTTTGGCATCCTGGATGCCAAACGTAAAAATTGTGCGTGTTTTGGGTGGAGGAAGGCTTGTGGTTGCCGTGGTTTTNGCAAAATTTTGGCATCCTGGGTGCGTTCCGTAAAAATTGTGCGTGTTTTGGGTGGAGGAAGGCTTGTGGTTGCCGTGGTTTTGCGCCTGCTCGGCCGCCTCAGCAGGTCCAAATGGTGTCGCAACCCAAGTATTTGATGTTTTCGTGTCGAAATCACGCATCAGCGTGCGTATTTGATGCATACCCGACTATCAAAAAATAAATTAACGAATACGGTTGAGGTTTGAGCCCAGGAGCCTGTTTTGAGTGATACCGACTTGAACCGGGTTCGGTTACCACAGCCCCGACGGCGGCACATGCGACAATCACGGTTTCTATCCTTTTTTTGTATTTTTTTTCGGGAACGGAAGGTTGATCATGCTCCACTAGCACCTAGACACGCGGGGAAATAATTGTTGGAGAGTTTCCGGCCCCTGGGAGCGTGTGTGTGCTCTATTGTGTGCGGCAGACGGCAGATGTTCAACATGTACGAAAAACTGTAGAGAAAAGGACGATGGGGGTTGTTTTTCGGCAGCACATTGGACGCTTGCGAGGCGAAAATGTTGTTCTATGTGACAAAATATCGACACTAGCACTCCTTGGGTGTCGTATACCAATAACCCAAGAGGATATGCACATTCAAGAGCACCGAGGAAGAGTTTTCGGGTGTGGTCGTGCCTCGCCACTGCAGAGCTCCCTTGAACCTTCGTCACCATACAGGATTCCACAACGTTGTCGAATTGTACAAGACCGGCACGTGTGCTTGTCATGTGCATATCCTCTTGGGTTATTGGTATACGACACCCAAGGAGTGCTAGTGTTCATATTTTGTCACATAGAACAACATTTTCGCCTCGCAAGCGTCCAATGTGCTGCCGAAAAACAACCCCCATCGTCCTTTTCTCTACAGTTTTTCGTACATGTTGAACATCTGCCGTCTGCCGCACACAATAGAGCACACACACGCTCCCAGGGGCCCGGAAACTCTCCAACAATTTTTTCCCCGCGTGTCTAGGTGCTAGTGGAGCATGATCAACCTTCCGTTCCCGAAAAAAACTTCAAAAAAAGGATAGAAACCGTAATTGTCGCATGTGCCGCCGTCGGGGCTGTGGTAACCGAACCCGGTTCAAGTCGGTATCACTCAAAACAGGCTCCTGGGCTCAAACCTCAACCGTATTCGTTAATTTATTTTTTGATAGTCGGGTATGCATCAAATACGCACGCTGATGCGTGATTTCGACACGAAAACATNAAGCACGTGTTGAAGACATCACTGCAGCACACAAATGTTTAGTTTGGCAAATTCCTCCACGTAGCGGCCCGTCAGTGCGGTTTGGAAGTCGTGCGCCCGGGAAAAGNGAAGTCGTGCAGCCCGGGAAAAAAAATGTCGAAATGATTTTTTCGTGAAAAATCAGGTCGTGCGCATGCAGCATATGGCTCCGCGCTTCCCCCCTTGTACTCGGAGTGCCGATTGAATGGTTTCGCCACGCGTCTGTGTACCGCTGAAGCAAAACAAGCTTTTTGCTTCCGAGAAAACACCAAAATTTGATGCAGAAAAATGTATTTTTGTGTTGTGCCGCCGGTACCGCCAAACCCAACATTTCTGGGCGTTTCAGCAGGGACGTGAAACCGCGTCCTGGCTTCAGAAATTAACAAAATCCTAGTTTTGTTTTTTAGCAAGCCGGTTACAGTAGATACACGCATGACTATGCCAAAATTTCCAGGAAAAACAAAAAGAACTCTGTTTGGGCCAAGATTCACGCCTGTGTCCGCCCAATGTTGTTCCCGATTAACCCTCCGCTTCTGCAGTTTTCCCAGTCTCTGCTTCTGTTCGTTTTTCTCTTGACAACCCCGGAGGGTACGTGTACACTTTTTGCAATTGACGTACGTGAGTAGGGATCATTTAGAGCTTTAGATTTCTGGAAACGCCCTCGTACCGGCCTCACAATGCCATTTTCAAGTCGTGCATCCCGGTTAAAAAAAATGTCCGCAGAAAAAGCATTTGAAAAATCAGGAAGAAGAGCACATGCACCATACGGCTCCACTACCCTCCTTCTCATGATCGGAGCGTCGATTTGATGGTTTACTCACGCGCCTGTGCATCACTTGGAGCAAAACAAGCTCTTAGTTTACGAGAAGACTCGGAAACCTGCTGCAAAAAGTTGTGTTGTTGTGTTGTGCCACCGGGACCGCCAAGTGCAAGATTTCCGGCCGTTGCAGCAGGCACGTCCACCCGCGTCTTGGATAAAAAAAATGCCATAAAAACATGCTCCGAAGTACTTGTTCTTTCGCAAGCCGGCAACAGTGCATGCACGCACGACTATGCTAAAACTATGGGGAAAAAACAAAATCCCCTGTTAGCCCAAGATTAGCACCTGTCCCTGCGTCAATGGGGTGCGGTTAGGCCTCCGTTGCTGCCATTTTCCCCACGCCACTCGTTTTTTTTTTTTTTCTCGCTATGAACACGAACACTATCTCTGCTGTGCGGTAAACGACGTTCCCACGTGTTTAAAGGAGTATTAAGAGCTTTACATTTCGGAAAACGTCCACATGTGCCCCGGTCCAACAAAAGCCCGGAAGATATTT